ACCTCCTCAGATGGGAAAGAGGGAGCCTCTGCCTCTATGGGGTCTCTGGATCTTTGGTAGAGGAAGGAAGTCCAAGCCATCACATACGGTTCCTTCCATTACAGTGCCTAACTACCTTACAACCTGCTCTCCTTTGCACAACTTTCATTTGGGTAGCCTTGACCAAGCAAACAGGGAAAGATCTCACCAAGCAGGGAACACTGACCCTCTATGCACAGCACCCAAGAGACACAGCAGCGGTACACTCAGTTCGAGATCTGGCTGTGCCTGCATGTTGTGTAGGACCACCCCCTTCAACCCCTCAGAGATTCAAGAGGGAAGAGGTGCAGAAGCTACCAGCTGGGAAGACCAGACCTGGCTGGATACCAATTACCACTAGTGGTCCCATATGCCCTAAAGGCCACATTCACTATTAAAATGAATAAGTCCACGTTTTTGCAGGGAAAAAAAAAAAAAAAGTGTATTTATTATTTTTCCTAGAGGCCTGCAAAGCATTGCATCCACAATCAGTGGATTGCAGGTGCAATGCCAGACGCCTGCAAACTCTTCTTCCAGCTCTCTGTCCTTACCTACAGGTTTATATAAGCTTTCAGTTAGAGAGCTGGAGGAAGTTCCAAAGGACTGGGTGAGCCCATTACCACACTTTTATTTCATTGAGAACTGCAAGTCCATTGTGGCAGACAGGACTCATAGTGCATTAATTCTCGAATCTGTTTATCGGAGAACGACAGCTATGAAGAGGGAGAAACAACTCCTGCATGTGGTCACAGGGGTATGGGCTCTGGGGAGTTGCTTAGCAACATGTTACTAAAGCTGGCGTTAGCCTTTAAGGCACAAGAATTGCTCTAAGGGAAAAGATGGTGGCCAGGGTGAGACACAGCTCCCAAGGCTAAACTGCCACAGGAAATAGAGCAAGAACCCCTGGTTTGAGGAGACCCCAAGTATAATCAGGAGAAAGTCTGACAATTTGTGTGGTGGCACAGGTGTGGAGGATCAGTGGAGGTTGTTAAAGAAAAAAAAAAAAAAAGGATTAGGAGATGGCTGTGGGTGGTGGTAGAGGGATGAACAATTGAAGAGAATGCCCGAAGGTCAAACTACACCAGGGCAGATTAACCCCATAAGGATACCCTTGAGGATTATGGAAAGGGTAGGTCTATAAACATAGTGTCCCTTGAAGACCAAGCGAGTCAGGTGCTCCATGCCCTGTGCACTGCATATGGTGGTGTGCAGAAAACTGCAGCTCAAGGGACATGGCCCACCTGGTTTAATTTTTGGATATTTCCCTTTTTAGATTTGTATCTCTCCAGTGTTTATACACAAACTCTCCAGCATTTGGATAAATTGTGGTTTTTATATTCTCTCTTTACAATGTTAACATGTTCTCCTGTCCTTACATGCAATTTTCTCATTGTTCTCCCAATGTACTGCAATCCACATGGACATTCAATAACAGTCAGTGTCAGGACATACTCCCTCTGCAGGAAGACTCCGCACTTTCATATTTGAGGATTTTTAGAAATGCCATATTATTTACTTAATGAAATTCTTCTTTAACTTCTACCATACATCAAAAGAAAATGACACACCCAAAAGGTACAAGAAAAAAAAAAATTGTAGGCCTTCAGCTTGTTAAACAGCAGCGTGTAAGGCAAGATTTTACAACACAATAAGAAAGTTTTCAGTTAGGTTCAAGCAACTTTCTTGAACCCTTTAAAAAGGCACACTGCAGTTTTGATGTTACTTTAAATGTTTTGGCTCAGCTGGCCCAAACTAACCATTTCCTTCACATACAGTATACAGCACTGTGTCAGCAGCTATATGGGAACTTAATGTCCCATTCCAGAACGAAACTGAGTCAGGCCAAGCACTGCTCAGCCATTCACAAGAATGTCTTGTATTTTTATAAATGAATACAAGGCTTCCTCTGATTGGCTGAGGTAGAGATTGTGACATCATCCACCCACTTAGCCACCTCATCTGATCAGAGAAAGTCTTGTATTTAATTCTTAAAAATAGAAGGTTGCATATGAATGGCTGAGCATTGCTCAGCCTGTTTCTTTTATTACAGGAATGGGATGGTAAGTTCAAGTACTGCTGCCAGAACTGTTTACTGTATGTACCCAATTCTACATACTGCAGTGCTGACAGCAGCCACATTTCTTAGTGAAACAAATAATTTGTTTGGGCCAACCTGGCCCAAATAAACTATTTAAATTGGCGTTAGGCAAGTTCAAGCAATCTTGCATCCCAGTTTGGAGAGGGGGGGATGCATTGATCATAATGGGAGTATTGTGTCACTTTAAAAAAAGCTGGAAGTTTCCGCACTACTTCAAAGTGCTCCCTTAAGATCTGTTTAACATTCCCAAACCGATACGAAATATTGCCTTAAAGAGTAAATCCACTTTTGTTGGAAAAAAAGCATTCCCCTCTGGAAAATGTATGTACATTGCAGGGATTTAACAAACTTTACTGCAGATTCCTACTTTTTAGTATTCTGAAGAAATAGCGGTTTGCTTGTCCATGTGGGGTGTGTCCATGTGCAAAATGAATGTGAATTATTTTATAATCAATCAGCTCCTGGACTTGCAGGGTTGTAATAATGAAAGTGGCAGGGTCTGCATACCTTTGGGAGTATCTCACCAACAATTACATTTTTGTTGCAGGGGATGTCCAAAATCTGACTTGTATCTTAGTGCAGAGTTCTGGGAAAAGCAGTAATCCAATCACACAAGCAGGAAATCTGGGGAAGATTTGTACACATCTGTGTACAGAAGGCCTCCAGGTTGCCTCTTGCATTTTACAGAAACTTATAGTGATGCAGATTGGGGGGGGGGGAGGTAATTTTAATAACATTCAAAATTACAATATGACTTTTATGGCCATTGTATATGCTACAATTGTTTTTCATAATTTTTTTTCATTTGCTACACTTATTTCCCATGAAGGAGGGGTTATTATTTAAAGGTTTCAACAAAGCTGCTCAAAGTGCACTGAAAGTTTAAACCATTGCTTTGTAAAAGCTTTCTGTACACAATGCAAAGCGTAAAAGAAGGGTCCTAATCTTAAATAATAGGTTGCACCATATCTTGTTTTTCATTAGCTCTCAATGAATGCACTATAAAGACAAAATAAATGAAACACGTTAGACAACTTTTAGAATGTGTAAAATATTTATTGAACACGTTTCATGAGATCAAGGAATTTTCTAGCACTTATTGATTTACACTTAGATCACCTCTGTCTCGACACCTCCTCAAGTCACTGCATCTCACAGGAGCAGTAATGAATTGAGTTAAAAATAAGTTACAATAGACAAGCACTTGCTGTTTTGACCCTTGTAAGTAATATTCTAATAAGTGGGAAGAAAGGGAGTTTAGGCACAACATACCCACTTTCATAAGTACAAGGGAGAAAAGTATTTAAAACTCACTGGGCAAAGTATCTGTATAAAATGCAGCCAGACAGGACTAGACAACATGAAATTTGGTGATGTTTACATACATGTATGCATCACTCCCTTGATCTTTTTTAAGCAGCAACACAAGATTTTCAAGTTCATGAGGTTCTTAAAACAGTGATAGTATATTGCAACTCTCTTGCTTGCACATAATATGCAGTCCCAAAAATAAGGACTGTCTATTTTATTGGAGGAACTGGAAATAAGTGGCTGAAGCACACTTGAATTACGCATTGTTGAGTACTGTTGAGTGTACGCGAAACTGCCCTGATTAATGCAGGTTGGGATTATGTAAGAGGATTGCTTTGAAATACAATACATCTCTTCACAGCAGCTTGCCCTAACAATGCACAATAGAGTTTCAATAAACCAAATTAACTCGTACACATTTCCTTCTCTGCAATTTAATTATGACTCATTAGCTTGGATTTAGATTAGTTACTATTGTTGCCCAACAGCAAGCAATACACCTTGCAAGCCAGGTTACAGAAAGTACACTTTCTACAATAGTGCAGCTGGGAGATTCAATGGAGATGGGAAGGAAGAAATAAAAAGAAGAAAAGGAAGAAAGAAGAATTGCACGTAACAGGAAAGCCCAATGAAAAGCAGCACATAATGCTGCCAGAATAAAGCAGCAGTTTAACAGATGCAGTGCAAAATACGGCTGCAGGTTTTAAATAACAGGAATATCTATGTTTTTGGCATCAGCCTTGTATTATATGGCATTTATACCAGAAAGAGTATTGTTTTGGACAGAATCGGGAGATTAGAAGATTTCATTTTGTTTTTGTTTTTTGATGGTTAGCTGCCACAGAAAACACAAAGAGGGATTTTGGCTTAAGGCTAAAAGGCAGTGTTCAAACAAAGCGTCATTACAACTGGCTATGGCAGCAAAGAGACGTGACAAGCCCTGAGCAGTACAGATGTTCAGTCACACAAACTGTCCTGCAGACCTCACTTTGGATCATTTACTAGAGAGAAAAAGGAGTAGTTACTTTGGAGTCTGCATAAAATTTGCTTTAATTGGGGGGAAAGAAGGGGTCACCTACATTTCTTCTCATCCTCCTGCCCCTGAGCTGAAGGGATTTAAAAACACAATTACTGTCAACTTCACATTCATTTGGTCCAATCAACTGCCCCAGTATCTTCTCACTGCACTTCAATATAGGGATTTGTGTACATGATCTAAATTCTATATCTTCATAGATGCTCTCTGCTGTCCCATGAAATATCCAATACTTTAGCAGAGATACATTTTATATACCCCAGCACTTTAATTCTCCCCTGCACGCTGATGTCAAAGTTAGTTTCATATGTGAATTTAGCAATTCTTTAATCCGTCCATTTACCAAATGAAGTAGGAGAAAAAAAAAAAAAAAAAAATAGAAGTTGCATTTTTTGGTGAACGTGGCACCTACTGCAGTTGCTTTTGAAAAGGACGGAGGTGAGAGACCAGTCTTCCGTTGTAGGATCATACATCTCATCTTGATCCACTGCCCATGGTCACAAAGGCCTGGTTTAAACCGCTGTGTTCAATGCCACATTATTGCATACAGCAGTGTCCGTTGGTTTCCTTGAATCGTAGGCGCATCTTGGGCTTGTACTTTTCCAGATACAGCAACTGTTTGGCGTTAAATGCTCCTCTCCGCTTTCTAAAATAAGAAATAAAAAGGTTTTCCAATAATCAAACCCTTTACTGGAATCATATATTAAAAAGAAGCGTGGTTTTTTTTTGTTTTTTTAATTTGTTTAAAATGCATAAACTGCCCTTACATTTTTTTTAATCATTTATATAAAACCTTTATAATCCAAGCACACATTTATTACATGGTGCTTCCATGACCAGCATAAACTCTGCTTATGTGCTAGGGAGATGGGGATGTTGATTTCAAAAATCATTCAATTGTACCAGTGTAATTTGATCTCATTTAAGGTTATTCACAGCCTAGCAGTAACTCAGCTCAGTGAAGAACTGCAAAAACGTCAAATGTATATATAAAATCTAGTATCAATTTAAGATCTGTAGTAAATGCTTTGGGGCCGCATTACTCCTTTTTTCTTAAAGGCCAAGCTCACCAAATTAATAAATGATAAATACACAGGTAAATGGTAATAAATTTGCATTTATAATTTATTTTTTTTTTTTTTTTTTAAAAAGGAGCCTGTAAAGCATTGCACCCACGATCAGCAGATCGGGGGGCAATATCCAGCTCCTGCAGACTCTCAGTACACTGTCTGTCCTCCCATATCAGCAGGCAGTTACTGACATTCAGGAAAATCAAGGAACTACGAGAGCGCTCACCAGCACCCTTGCACTACATTGAGAACTAAAAGCCATTTGTCGCAATGGCAGACGGTATTTGTAGTCCATTCATTCACACAGCTCTGTAAATGAATGATGTGGCAGTATGGGTGGAGCCCTGCAAGGTTGCACTGTATTTGAATTGTGACAGTGGGTGCAAGAAGAAGATCCCTCGCCCACTGTCACAATGGGGGATCGGGTCGGGGTGTTGACAAGCTCTTTAGTAACTTGCTACACCCTAAATATAAACTTATCCTTTAAAACAGGGTGCTTCCATGACATTTCACAAAGCATTCTGGACTTTTTATCAAGAATGCCAAACAGTTCCTGCTCATGTTTTGGCTGTCTCTCTGTAGCTGAAAAGCTATGTGGGTCATTACAAGCTAACGACAAGTGGAAGGAGTACCCCACCTGATAATACAGCCATCTATGAGTTGTGACCAGAGAACGGGTATAGGGTACTCAGGCTATTCGTGGCATGGCCTTTTTTAAGAGACAAAGGGTATTCATTGATTTTAATATTAAAATGACACACAGAGGAGGCTGGTCAGTTTGCCCGATTTAATGCACATAAACGTCATGAGCATTAACGTGTCAGTGTTCATTAGGCTGACAGCTGTTGACATCAGTGTGTATAATATACACTGAAAAAGAAACCTTGAAGTGAGAGCATATTGATAATGGTTATCACACACATGAATCCACTAAACAGAAATACTTTGAAATTCAATAAACATTCACGAATGTTATCACTATCACTTAGCTTGATTGCGTGCTAAAATTAGTGGTGAAAATAGAAAAAAAAAAAAAAAGTTCAACCGAAAGTAAAGTGCCAGGCAAACAATGAAGTGCTGGAATACATATATCTTTGCCAAGAGCAGGCCACGCACCACTGTCACACTGCAAATCCAGGAATATGAAACCAATCATTCCTAAGTTTAGCTTTACAGCTTACGGTGTCGACGGCCCGTTCAGTTTAAAATGTATTAGTAGTCTAATGTTATCACTAGAGATCATAAATAGAACAAGTAAGCGCTAAAAGTCAAGAAGCCGCTATAGCACCAAAGGATACCAAATAACCTCTAAGACATATATATAAAAAAGGAAGCAGATGAAAAGAACAAGGGGCGGCTGAAGGATCCCAATACTACATAATACCAGAGCTATATGAAAGGAGAATTAGAGCCATATTGACAGCAGGAGTGAGCAGTGAGGGGAACTTCTGACCAGACCAGATCCATCCACATAAGAGCCTCCGGTTCATCTACAGAGAGTAGTGTCTCTAAATGCGCTGACTGATTGCGCATCTGCTGAGTGCGCAGTCTTTATGATACTGGTTATTTCACCACAGTATTGGATGGAACATCTACTCTTGGAGATAATTTGATCTTCCACATTCACATTGGGACAATACTATATCACTATACTGGTCACTCAATAGTGACGGACTTCACATCATCACAGAAGTCACTTTATTTATCTTTATGAATCTTGGCACCTTGTCACAAGTCACTTTAATTTTATGATGATTTTATGATGATTATTGGCATATTTTATATTGAGTTTTTATATCATTAGTTGAAATTTTTGCACCTTTTTCATACTAATGTTATCACTGCTCGTCTAATAGGGATTCTAGAGGCAACGATGAGACACAGGAAGCTGCAAAGCTAAACCAGTAAATTGGGGTTTCGCCTACCAGGCTATGCAGTGTGGCAAGGACACGATTCACAAAGCTGGATTAACAGCATTACAAATGCTGTGACAAGTAAAGCTAGTACGTTCTGGTTTATGGAGAACAGAGTTCTAAATTAAAATAACTTAACAGATTCTATTTTCAGCAAACATGGTTTTACTATATTTGCTGTACCGTCCATGTGATATAGGTACGCTTCTTCCAGCAAGCTGTTTATTTCTTGTTTCAACAAGATATGAAGAAAAACTGTTTAACAATCCGCTTGTGCGCAGCCTTGTTTACCAGGAGTGGAGGTCTCATGAGGTAAAAGGCAGAGCGAACACGCAAGAGACAGGGAGGGGGAAGAAAAGATGCGGTTAATTAGCTCACTTACTCCCTGATAAACTGCACAGCGTCCTCGTACTTCATCCCACATTCAATCAGCGCTAGAGCAACCAGCACAGGGGCCCTGGAAAAAAAAAAAAAAAGACAGCAAAAAGATTAGTAGTGTATGCATTTCGTGGACTCGATCCTTGGGGTTCCCTGGAAGTGCAGACACCAGGAAAAGATTATTAATTGGATTAAAAAAAAGGCAGCTTTACATCTTTGCACAATGCAATGTTGAGTAACGAACCATCTAAAAAACAGAATCTGAAATCAGACAAAGATACTTCAACAACCTTCAGGCATTGGAATGCAGTAAAAGGTTAAATTGACTTACATTCATCATCTCAGCTCTCAGTCAGTCAATTTCTACTAAAAATGTACACAGGCTGCACTGAAAGCTATCATCCAAATCAGTACACCCTGGGCTCAGGGAACATTATCCAAAGTTCTCTATCCCACTGCTCGATATTTTCTCATCTGTATCTTGCCATGCTGCCAGATTGAACTCTGCAACATTCCCACCTATAAACACGCACAGCCCCTCGTGCCCACAGGCAGCGCCCGCCAGCTCGAATATAATAAGTGTTGTATGCTAATTAAAACAGATCCATGGCACACCAATTATCCATCACAAATACACCAGATGCTGCTTCATTTCTGTTACTGATATTATCTTGCAACCCATCCAAAAAGCACCTTGCATAAAACTATACATAGAGATTGAGTTTCCTCTTTTTCTAGTGCAGTCAGACAACCAGTCAAACCTGATTTGCAAAAATGCACAGTGAACATGTATACTCTACTGCATTAGGCCTCATACACGAGAGGTTAAGCTCCTACAGCATAAAATCCCAGCATTTTCAGGTGCCTGGAGGGCACAGGTGCAGTGTTCAGCCCACGGCCAGCAGCCTGTAAATCTACAAGAGGCTGAAATACATGACAGCAGGATGCTGTACCGATCAGTACTCACGTTTGAGGCCCTATGCATTTGGGGCATACACACACAGCATTAAACATAAGTACCGTTTGGAACGGCATACAGGTGCTATTTTTCAGCCTGTCATATTTTGACAGGTTGCTGGCAGTCAACTGTATGCTGAACCTGTGCCTCCAGGACAGGATTTTACACAGTAGGGGGCTTAACTGCCCATGTGCAGAACACCTTACAAAAAAAAAAAAAATCTAGCTTAAAGGCATAGTTTACCTTTACCAAAAAACTGCCTATGCAGATAAAAGAGACTTCTGTAGATGGAAACAAGTTTTTTGGTAAAAATTGAGCATCAATTATTTTGTTTGAAAAGGTGACATTATCCCTGTGGCTCATAAAATGAGCTTGAGGCTCATAAATTGCAGTGATTGAAAAATTCTCCAAAGATTCCACTACAGTCTCCGTGTCCACATTGCTTTTCTCAGTTTCTTCCTCAAAGAGGCTTGGAGGCTCCATCTCAGATTCATGAACAGAGTCAGAGGGAGGAAGTGTAGCGCTTTTGTCCCCTGGAAACCAAAGGTTCCAGGAGTGCTGATCTAGTGGCAAAAAAAAATAATAAATTTGCTTTTGTGAGATATGTTGAATAGAGTGTGCTTGAGAGGGAGCTAGAGTCAGACAAGAGAGTGGTATCATAACAGCATAATACTTTAGGAAAAGGGAACAGCTATCTCCCTGAGTGGTGTTCAGAGTTTTCTGCAGGCCTGCCTTCAGTAGAACACCTGTTAGATGGCCCTATTGTCCCAACTCCCTTGCGCCTGTGATCCCCCATTGCTAATGTGAGGGCATTCCCTGTGCAGGACTCACAGAATGGATGTAAAAGGTAAAGGGTTTTGCGTGTGCGGATAAAGGAACCACAATAATCCAAGCGTTGAGTGTGTTCATGTCGCTGTCTCTCTGAAGTAGAAGGCCAGAGAAAGTACAGCAATGCACTGTGTGCATTTTTAGTACATATGGCAGGAGGATCAGAAGGCATTTCACAATGTCATCATACTCCAAGGATCAAGTCCAGATGGGAGGGGGAAAAAAATGCTAAATTCCAAAATCAGGCTATTATTTATGGTGCAACATATGTTAAGACACTAAAGATTTGGGGTGGGTGAGGTGTCAGAAAAATACAAAACTGCCAACATCCCAAAACAACAATTTGAGAACAGAAAAGAGTGATCCTCCTCATGGTTGTCACTCTTCTCTGTTCTCAAATATGTTAGACACATTTACAAAACAAAGTAACATTCACCGGTCTATGTATCCACACTGTGTGCTAAGCATTTTGAGAAGTTTTAATTTTTAAAAGCCAGGAGCAGGTGATAAAATACAAGGAAACCCTGTGTTACATTTTATTTAAGTTGTTTTGCCTGTCATTGTGGGCATACAAATTACACACACTGCACTTTTGTGCCGAGGTGAGCGCTTAACGCAGGATCCAGTGAATTAAAAAAAACATCTCAAGGTCAGTCCCACACAGTTCCGGATACAGCCCACAAGTTACTCACAGATGGTTATTGACCTGAAAACGGCTAGACAACCCAAGCAATAAGGCTGCATTCACACTTGAGCGAGTTTTGTAGCTTGAAGCTCCAAAAACGCTTAAAAACCTAAATAAATCAATGGTTCTCTATGGTGCCTGTTCGCACGATCAGGTGTGAACAGGCACCATAAAGAGTAATTGATTTTTTTTAAGTTTGTTGCTGAAAGCTGAATGTGAACGTAGCCTAAGTAAAGCACCATCACCTACAGACATTATCAAAAATGAAGTGGGTGGGGCTATAGGAGCATGCACTAGGTGGCCCTAGCAAGTTTTTGCCAGTGTACAGTGCTCTATGTTCTGTGCAGTTAAAGTAAATAGTTTTGGCCGGACATACACATAAAAACCTAAAGAAATGAAGCAAAGCTAAAAGTTGTCTGGAAGAAATCAATATCTCAGTTTCCAGGCATATATACACTTGGCTTGAGATGAGAAAGTTTTCTTTTTTTTTTTTTTTTTTACAATGTCTCTGAAGCTACAGCTGTGGCGGTCACACGGCACCAACTGATTGCCAAAAAGGGTGCAGGTGTTGTGTGGTTTCTACATTTTTTCAGATCAACAGATATTACAAACAAACTTGAAATTCACAGGTCGATTCCTATGACAGGGTGAATTTTTTTTTTTTCTGCCTTACTAGGCCCTTCTCTGTTTCCTGCTAATGTGGACTTTAAGAAAACAGCATGTGCATCTCTGCCGTTTCTTTAGTGTGCACAGCAGTGGAAATGGATTGTATTTCTGGGAAAAGACCGTTGGAGATTTACTAAAACTGGAGCATTCTGGTGCAGCTGTGCATGGTAGCCAATCAGCTTCAAATTTCAGCTTGTTCACTTAAGCCAGTGTTTCTCAACCTTTTTTTAAGTCAAAGAAACCTTTAAAATTATGGACAGTCGCGAGGCACCCTTTAAAATTCTGGACAGTCCCAGGGAACCCTTTAAAATTCTGGACAGTCTTGAGAACCCCATTATAAAATGTAAAAGCTATTGTATTCATTTTATATAACACAGCAGCATCCACACATGTAGTACACCCAACATTAGAGGCGATTTATTCTTCCAAGGCAATTACACTTTTGCACACTGGTACTGACCAGTATTCCAATGCTTCTCTCCTCTCTCAGCTTTTCTCCATCACTGAACTAATGTTACCGAGGCACTGATGGAGAGGGGCAGGAGAGGGTCAAACAAGGATGCTGTGAAGGTAACCGACATCCTCCTTACCAACTGATGTCACTGAGTGTCAGGACGCCGGTGGCTAGAAAGTCGTGATAGTGCACAATGAAAACCCGTGGCTTTTGTAACTAAAAAAGCAGGCTTGTTCCACACACTGGCTTGTATACAATTTTAGAACAATTTTTAAGCATTTTGCCAAGGCACGGGCCTAGTGCATTACCTTTAAAAATTAGATTTATTTATAAATAGTAAAATACTCACAAGAGAAATAAAATCAGATCAAATAGAAAGCATGTCACAAATGATGCAATGTAGTCCAAAAACCCTGAAGGTGGTCTGGTGGGGGACTGTGTAGCTGGAGGCTGATGCATTTCGAGGTTGTACCTCTTCCTCAGAGCCAGTGTGTGTGCAGCCTGTGTCCTCTCTCTGCGCACACACACTGGCTCTGAGAAAGAGGTACAACCTTGAAACGCACCAGCTATCCAGAGGTTCACAGTTGCCCACCAGACCACCTTCAGGGGTTTTTGGACCACATTGCATTCTTTGTGACATGCTTTTCATTTTATCTGATTTTATTTCTCTTGTATTTTACTATTTATAAATAAATCTCATTTTTAAAAGGTAATGTACTAGGCCGTGTGACTCTTTGTTTCTTATATACAGTTCTCTTTGGATTTCCCTGGTCCGTTGAGGGCAGAAAGGCTTGCATTCCTTTCTTACACATGTGAGGATATTGACATTGTGGAGTCTACTGTCCAGCGCAGGAGCACATGCATTTGGTTGCTTTATTCTTCTTTTCATTTTGCCAAGGCACCCTGGTTGAAAAAGCCTGAATTAAGCTTTGGCAATAAAACCTCAAGGCTAATTGGTTTCTTTGCAGAACTGCACCAGATTTTGCCCTCTCCAGTTTTAATAAATAAGCCCTATGTGTCAATAGCAGCTTTTCACTGGTACCTCATGCAGTACAAACGTTTTGAGGCACAGTGCATTCAGATTCTTTTTTAGCCTCCAGTTGTTGGCATCCGTGGCAAACCGTTGACCTACCTGCCCAATCCTGCCACACAGTGGACAGCAATGCAGGAGCGTGGTTCTTCTCGAAATTTGTTTTTTAATAGATTCAGCCAATCCTCAACTATTTGTGTAGGGGGTGGCGCTCCATCATCAAATGGCCAGTCCTTAACGAAAGAAAAATAAAGCAGAAATATTAATATAAATCAGCAAGCCCTTTTGAGCATTTTAGATCATCTGTGATCTAAACCATTAACAAAATGTGTTTAAAAGATGGTGCAAATTATTGAGATTAAAGAAGCACATTTTCATATGTTTGCATGCCTTCGTGCCAACTGTATTAGCAATAACAAGCTGACAAGTAAATCTGAGCATTTTAAGTAAACATTAGATTCAAAGCCAGCTTTCAGAAGGAATTTTCAAAAGTTTTACATTTAAAAAGAAGCTGTTATATACAAATGCCAAATGAAGCTGAACTTGCTAAACAAAGAATGTAGGAAGGAAGACAACATTCAAGGCACAAAATGATGCAGAATACTAGTTTATCATCCTCTTATAGAAGCGGTTGGTTGTAAACAATAATAAGGTTTTAGTCCAGTGCACTCAAATGCTAAATTGACCTTTAACAAAAAAATAATACATGCACATATTTTTGCTGGGGAAAAAAAAAATTAAAATTTTTTTTCTACACGACACTGCAAAGTATTACACCCATGATCAGTGGTCCTGTACACACTCTCTGCAGCTTTCTGCCCGTACCTCTGTACAGACTTTCAGTTTGATTGGACTACGAACAGACAGGACTTGTAGTTTCTTCATTCACAGATCATTGCCGATTTTAAAATGTGATTATGCAGGGGAGAGGAACCCCATGTTCAAAAGGTGAACTTGTCCAAAAAGTGACATCCTTCTTGGAAATAAAGTAACAAACTGTACAACTAAAACTATTTCTGTAAACAAAATTTTGTTTTCACTGCCCTTTAAAAACAAAGAAAAGTGATGGCAGAAAAAAAAAAAAAACAGTGATTTTTTTTTTTTGGGGGGGGGGGGGGGGAATCTATGCTTTTTTTTCAAGCATATTTGAAGCCATTTACTGTTGACTGGCTCACTACCTCTGCTGGAAGTTTATTCCAAGCATCAACTACTCTTTGAACCAAATAGGAGTAATCTATCAGATGTACGAAGTCCTGCACACACATGTCAAGTGTCTGTTCTTGGCAAACTTGAAACTGCTTCCACCATTTTCAGAATGTAATATAGTTTGTCATTTAAAGAGCCTGTGTTACAGAAGAGCAGGAAGAGCACTTGTCTAGGGTCCCATTCTCTGAGGAAAATCAACACTAGCATTTTAAGGGTGTGTTAAGGTGATATTAAAGACAAATTAAAAATAATAATAAACCGGTTATACTTACCTGTTCTGTGCAGTGGTTTTGCACAGAGCAGACCTGATCCTCAACTTCTCAGGTCCCCCTGCCGGCACTCCTGGCCCCTCCCTCCTGCCCAGTGTCCCCAGAGCAAGCAGTTTTGCTCCCACTCCCAGGGAGGGTGGGTTGGGGAGAATGGTTGCTGCACACAGAAGGCTTTTCACCTTCATGCACAGAATGCACGAAGGTAAAAAAAAACCTTAAGCCTTTATAGCCACTTTAAGCATGGCCATACAAATTCTAATCCAAAGACTAATTAGGCCTCTAGTAATAAAAGTGACACCCAGCCTTTCCCACAATCATCTGTGTAAAAGGTTTCCCTGGTTTATACCCATTGGCTCTCAGACTGCTTGGAATTCTTGAATAGTGTAGCACACTGCAGAGACACCCAATTTGTCTGAAAGTAAAAGCACTGCCCCTCCCTCAATACTTGTTATATCAAAGGCAAAGCATAGGGCAGATACAAACAAAATATAAAAAGTTGCGGATGGCATGTGCTGTTGGAGAGTAGAAATTGGGCAGCCGCAGTTTCATTGCACACAAGAGGGTCCAACCACTCAGGATCTCAAAGAAACAAACATTTATACTCACATAGGTGGGTGCAGTATGGGTCTGATGCTGCATCTGACCCCCGCTGACTAAGCCCAATAACTGAGCAAACAAAGACTGCTGATTGCTCACTTCTTGGTTTCAAATTGCAGATAGACAGGGACTGACAGTCACCGTCTCTCTGCTCTGCCCCTCCAGCGCTCAATGGGGCACCCAACTGTGGGGGGATGGGAGCGGGCTGACTTAGGCTCTCAGCGGCTCACTGAAAGGCTGAGCCAGCTGCCGAACAGGAATCTGGGTGGATTCTGACTTTAAAAAGGCAGGATTTCTCCAGAGCCTGGACCAGCTCAGTGACGTCAGCTGACTTTAGCTCACTGTCAGCTCAATATGGGTCACAGGAATGCAGACCTGAGTGCACTCTTGTAACCCACAGGAGATGTAGGGCCAAGAGAGTGTTGTCCCTACTCCTCCTTTAAATAAAGCTCTCTGGTTTGATGAATAACCTGTAATAAAAGGAGCCCCAACATACAATTCTTTTGTTTTGCAGCTTTGATTTTTCTCCATAAACAAAGCCTTGGTAAATCAAGACAGCTGCAGAAACCAGGACACCACCATGTTTATACACAGAGGTAAGAAACAGTTCATTCATTATGTTCTATATACTCCATAGTACTTTGGAGGGACGAAAAAAAAAAATTTCAACGGTTTTTTCTGATCAACTAACTTCTAAAGTAACCGTGACAAATCAGATATCATTCCGGTTCTCTCAAATATTCAATTACAAAGATTTTTTGTATAAGATGCCGTGACAGCTACACCTTTTAGACGCCTGCTCTAGGCTCCTGCGATCTTTCAGGTCTACACTTACTGAAAGGACAGTGTACTTTGATATGCTGACCTATTTCAATAACTGTCTTGTCCATTGAAATAAATGGGCAGTTACCTCTTGTTATTAGGCACCTTCACACTGCGGTGTTTCCAGTCCTGTTATCATACTGTCCACCTTTTAAATAGATTTTTTGCACTGTATAACACCACTTCTATGTAACTGGAACACTGATCAGCACTTCCAATGAAGCACTTAGACAAAGTTCAGTTGTTTCTCTGGTCCAGCTCACCTTCCTCACCTCTGGATTTACATGTCTGTGTATGCAAAGCCTTGAGCAAAGAACCCTTTTCAAATTACAGTTTCCAACTAGGCGGCATAAATAGTATCTCTGTACTTGACATATTGTTTTTCTTGTTTGCACTGAATCTTTTACCTCTGTACACACTCTCACTACAGTACGCTCATCTATTCTGGTCTCCAAACAAATAAGAGTACATCTGTCAGAAAGTAATCCTATCAGCATGCTCTAGCTTAAAAAAGGAAAAAAAAAAACAAAAAAAAACAAAAAAACACATTAAACAGGCACCATTCTTGTCCCTAATAGACATAGGTCTTTATTAAAGTTGGACTGCAAGCATAAAGATAAATACATATAAAGGGTCCTGCTTAACTGCCATAGGTTATGCATTGCTGCCCATCCAGTTCTAAGATTTACACAGTTCTGCCCCAGACTTTTCTGACAAGGCAGGACACCCTTTTTACTGAAATGTGGGGTCTTGTGCCCTACTATGGTGTATATTACACTATTTAAAATAATTTCTCCTGATGAAGCCACGTGACCCGGTGGCGTAACACGTAGGGGAGGGACTCTGACATTACGTCGTTTAAAGCTACATAGAGCAAGTATTTAACAAGATTTGAAAACATTACTGTGGATTCAAATTTTAACATTTCAATGCAGTTTTAACTTGTAATACATGTGAGTGCACTACTATATTTAATGAATTATGTTTTAAAAAAGATAAGGCACTATATATTTTTTATTACATTCCATGGCCATTATACCTATGGAGAAAAATTCCTAAGGAAGCAAGGAGACCCCCTAGTGCAGTGGTTCTCAACCTTCCTAATGCCGTGACCCTTTAATACAGTTCCTCGTGTTGTGGTGACCCCCAACCATAAAATTATTTACCCAGTAATTATAATTCATGAGTGTCGTTTTACCTCCAATACTGCTGCTTTCAACACAGTAGCTGCTTTTAACAGAGTAGCTGCTTTCAACAAAGCAGCTGCTTTCTACACAGTAGCTGCTCTTTACACATCGGAAATATGTGTTTTCTGATGGTCTTAGGGGACCCCTGTGAAAGGGTCGTTCGACCCCCAAAGGGGTCGCGACCCACAGGTTGAGAACCAGTGCCCTAGTGGGAAGAGGGATACTCCTGTCCACCATCTGCTCCAGGAAAACCCATAAGGAAGCAAGGAGACCCCCTGCTGGAAAGAGGGAACACTCCATTCATCCATCCCAGAGAAAGAGGGATCCATCCCATCCATTTAGCACTTAGCCCCATTAAAGGGACACAAGTCTTTTATGACATAACTTATCGATTTGGTCATATACACCATGTGAGAGCACAACCGGTCAAGGTGTACAAATTTTTCTTATGATTGGTGAACTGCACAGTTAATCATTTTGTATCGCAGCACTGGAAGAAGTGTCAAAGTCAAGGATTTAATAAAGGACATGTTTGTAGAAATAATATAATTGCAGAGATATCATTATGCACATTTGTAAAGCTGGATTGTTATTTATTTATACTTTTTTGAAATTGGTAGTGGAGCGCGACACTATTTCTTATGTCAACTTTTTACTACTGCAGTTGAGCAACACTTACAGGACATGTCCCTTCTCCAACCTTTGACTGGGTAGTAAAGCAGACTTATGAGCTCCCCTCTCTAAAGCTGGCCATACATGGATTGAAACTTGGTCAGTTCAGCAGGGACTGGCTGAATTTCGATCCATGTGTTGGCAGGTGTGGGGTTTTATAGATGTCGATCTACCAATCGACCTCTGCACAACTGCCCTACTGGAAAACTCCAGCTCGATCAGTGCTGCCTACTACAGCCATCACAGCTGATCAGTGTATTTTGGCGGCCGACTGCATAATGCATATATGAGGTGGCAAGGAAGTGAGCTTTAATGCTCAGCCGCTGCATATATGCGTCAACTATGGCAGGAGGGTTAAGTTGAGAGTGTGTTCACTGCACACTGACTCCCAATTATGAGACGGCTGTGACAGCCAATAACAGTGAGCAGTGATATCAGAGTAAGCAATTTCAGTACAGGAAAGAAGCGTGTACAACTATGCAAGATTGAAGGTAAGACTAGATGTTCAGTTTTAAAGAATACAGGACAAAACTAATACAGGACAAAACAAGAGTACCATGCAATCCTGTGCGGGGGAAAATGCAATGCATTTGCAAACTGTGTTTGTAACTGTGTAATTAACTTTAACACCCGCTGCAGATAGCAAATTAAGTGTGTTCTGCATGTGGTCTGAATTTCACAGGAAAGCAGTCTGTTCCTGTGAATCATGTGCAGGCATGGAGTGAACTGACCGTCAACCAAACTTTTGAGCCACAACGCTTAACAGCCAAGATGGCTGGTGTCCCAGCTGAACACGTGCGGCAATATGGAAAGCACGGATCAAACAGAGGCTGTGATGGCAGCTTCCTTATCTGTAAACGATAGCAGGATTTACTTCTGCTTTAGTAGACAGGAGCCAGGCTGGTAGAGAATCATCAGCTACCTTACAAATCACTGAAGACTTTTGTAACGTTATCCATTTTACTTTATACAAATCTTGATCCAAGCAATAAAGCTGGTCAAGCAAACCTGTGCAGCCACTAAAGCTTGACAACATTTAATTTTTTATAATAATTACCCAAGTGGGACATGTTATCAAATCTAGTTAGAAGACAAACTGGTTTTCATGGCCATCAAATGTCTCCCCAGACATGTCTCTTGGTAAACGCAAGTTATTCCTTCACAGAAGAGGCTAAAGAGAATTCCAACACACAAGCAGGTATGCCATCTTACCTTAAGAAGTTAGGATTGGTATGTCCTGTTTAGAAGATAGAGCCATGTGGCTTTATTCAACATTGTTTTCTTCTGTTCCACCTACAGTATTATACTAATTTTCAGAGCCATGTGCTTTTCAAAACACTTTAATATTTCGATGTAACACAGCTGGGCTCATACCACAAAGGAGCAATTTTACAGTAATTGTTCCATGACATGACGGCAATAAAACACACTCTGAGGGGCTAGTTCACACCACATGCGGTCCAGAGCTTTTTTTTGTTCTGCATCCAAAATGCATAGAAAGTAGGTTACATGGTTTTCAATTGCACACTTCACACCAGTACTTGCAGTCCAGTGTGTTTCGGTTTCAGAAAAAAAAAAAAAATAGTCATAGAACATGCTGCAATTTTCCTGCACACTCTACTGGAACACTGTAAAAATGCATAAAAAACATACCGAACTCCAGTAGAGGGAAAACAAACAGAAAAAAGAAAATAAAATAATTTAAAACGCATCAAAAACTTGCATGAAGAAAAGCATCCAGGATGAATCTGGTGTACACTTTCGTGGTGTGAACTAGTCGTGAAAGTGGTCAAACACAGAGTACCGGTAAATACTCACTAGCACTTGGATGCCTTCCTTTTCTACCGGAGCCTTATCATATGTGGCTTCACAGACCCTCACTACAGTGGTGACTCCATATTTCTTCAGCTCCTGAGGAGAAAAAAAATATAATGGTTTAAGAATAGTTAAGCATGACAATGCATTTATGAAAGTGCACATATTTTATATTCTGATCTCCTGCATTTTAATAAATAATATAGCTTAAATTTCATGATAATTAATCGTGCAGAATGTTAACAAGCGTTTCCAAATGGAACTAAAAAAGGAAACCTGAGCTGAGAAATATATGAGGGCTGTGATTGCCTACCTAGTTGTCCAACACCTTCAATTTCTAGGCTGTCTTTTGAAAACTATTTAGAACAGGACTGTTTAAGAACAGGGCCATCTCTGCACAAAGTAAAAAAAAATCCTTTTGATGTCTTCTATGGGTATGTAGTGCAAGGATTTACAGAGGTGTGTGTGCTTTTTTTAGTGGCAGCCTGTAGAAAGAATTCAAAATACCAGTACCGTGTGGGCAGGGTTAAATTAATTAAGTTAAGTCATTAATTATCAGAAGCTGTATGAGATGTGACAGACAAGCAGAGAGCTCCCCTGTCACTTCTGCAGCAACCTTGGCTGGTGCACAACGGGGACAGCCAGACCACCACTATTTTGCAGGGCAGATTACTACTGCAAACCTTTTGATTGATAAGAGTGGAAATACTATGATGGGGCCGCCAACTAGCTCATAAGCAGGTTTCAGCCATCTTACCATTATTCAAACATGGCCATTAACCACTTGCCTACAGGGCACTTATATCCCCTTCCTGCCCAGGCCAATTTTCAGCTTTCAGCGCTGTCACACTTTGAATGACAATTGCGCGGTCATACAACACTGTACCCATATGAAATTTTTATCATTTTTTGAGACAGATAGAGCTTTCTTTTGGTGGTATTTAATCACCTCTGGGTTTTTTATTTTTTGCTAAACAAACCAAAAACCACAGAAAATTTTGAAAAAACAAACATTTATAAAATTTTATAACAAAAACTAAGAAAAAATAAGTGATTTTTCTCCTTCACTGATGTACGTTAATGAGGCTGCAGTGATGGGCACTGATGGACACTAATAGGTGGCACTGATGGGTATCACTGATTGGCACTGAAGGCAGCACTCATATGACACTGATAGGTGGCACTGACTGGCATTGATAGGTGGCACTGATAGGTAGCACTGAAAGGCAGCTCAGATGGGCACTGATATGTGGCATTGATGTGCACTGGTAGGCACTGATATGTGGCATTGATGAGGCACTGGCAGGTGGCACTGATGGACACTGACAGGTGGCACTGCTGGGGCTACACTGATCATCAGTGCACATGTCCCTTCTGCGGAATGTCGATTACAAGCTTTCTCTCGAGCTGTCAGTGCGACAGCTCATGAGGAGAGAAATGCCAATAATCGGCATTTCCCTATTTACATGCGATCAGCTGTGATTGGACACAGCTGATCACATGACCGAGCCGACATCTTCGGCTCTTTCCGTTGATCGGTGAACCGCTGTGTTCGAGGGACACAGCGCACCACCGATCGGCGCGCTGTGCTCTCCTCCGGAGCCATGCCTGCGCAGTTAGAATGGGAGGACGTCATATGACGTCCTCCGAGAATGAGAAAACCGCCTTGCGCCCGTCATTACCTTATATAGCAGACGGGAGGCGGTTAACAAACCTATGATGTCTCAGAGCATGGGTGTATAAACTAGCCAGCACCATGTACTGTACATGTTTCCACTCTCGCAGTCAACATTGACTATTGTTAATCCTTGTGCTGATAGCATTAGTAAATGGTTTGGAAAAAATATCAGATTTACTTGTTTTAAAAAGTTTTTTTTTTTTTTTTTTTTTTTTAATACATTTCTTCAGTTACTTACTGGTTTCCAGGCCTAGGCAAATGTCATACATTCCAGGAGTCTTTAGGAGAGGAGAAGGGGTTCTCTCAGCTAAGCATACTCCCCTGCCTAAGTCAAGGGCAGATGGATTCCAGGAAGTAAATGCTACACGAATCATCTGCTCTTACACAAGATGGCCATGGCCAGAAATGCTAGGTGGTGTTTTTAAAAGTGATTTCTCTACAAAATAAAGCATGGAGACATGGATGGGGGAGCTTGCCTTGAGTATTAAAAAAATAAATAAATAGTGTTATTGGTTTGTAGTGCACAGATGCAGTGTAGGTCCATTTTTAGGTTGGATAGCTGTTCTGTTACCCCTTGAGGCTTTGGTGGTAGGCTGAGGAAGACTGAGATGCCATTGGGCTCCTACCGAGTGTCAAGTGAATGTGTTCTAGTCCATGTTTGTTTTTTTAAAGCCATGGAACGAAGACGCCGTTACTTCAGGTGCACAATCTGTTCACCGATCGATTAGATTCCATCCCTCCTCTCAGCTTATGCAAAACAAGAAAGCCGGCTGCACTCAGATGACAGCAACCATAGAAACACTTTAATGCTCTGCACATCACATACAAAAGGTTTAGTGACGATTCCCAGAGGTTCAGTGCTCCTTCCTCTCCCCTGCAGCTGCCATTCACTGACACAGGGGATCATGTCACCAGACAAGACTAAAAAAAGGTAAGTATACACATCTTTTTTACAGAGGTAGTCAGGATAGGTAGCAGGAGGGGGAAGAGACCATTTTTAAGCATAGCTGGTGTGAAGCTGGAATTCTACTTAATATCTGCAATTGCAGTCACAGAAACATCAAGCTGCTGGGAGTTTGTCTTATAACCTTTATCCTTGACATGCTGGTCTATAATTTTCTCCTGTCCTCAGACAATTCTCTCCTTTGGTTTCTGTTATTCATGTTCAGTGCTGAACACATGGCAACACCAAACAGCATAGTGACTATGTTTCTCCATGGCCGACTGATTACAATACAGAAGACATGAGTGATACTAATGGCAGAAAAGAGTTTGATATATCACTATAATAATCTAAATATGTATCGATCTTTTCCAGGAGTACCAACAAATCTGTCCAGGCCATTTTAGAATATTTTTCTAGAATAAGGATTAGTTTATTATAATTTACTCTGACAAACCAAAGGCATGCAGGCATGCATGAGACAATTGCTATTAATTTCATTACTTTCCAGGAGGAATGAAGCAATCTTTCAATCCGTCATAAGGGCACCAAGAAGTCTCTATCCTTTGAAATGTTTTTTTTTTTTTTTTTTTTTTTTTTTTAGCAAAGTTGGAATTACTGTATGCAATTTATTTTTTAATATATCTTACTTTTGCCTCACAGTGTTAATAAATATGTCATATGCAGCAATGCGTTATCATACGGTCATATCGTGCTCGGGAGAGGCACTGTATAAAGTTGGAAATGGAGGTGCATATTTGCTGATCTAAACTTCTACGCACGCCATTTTTTTTTTATTGCTATATGTACTGCTGATCCCATAGTAAACAGGGTGTAAGTAAATGGCACTAGGACTTTTCTAGTACAGCCTCTTTCCTCTTTGTATGTTATAGCCCCCTTGTCTTCTGGGAGTATTCAATTACGCTCTGTGCTGGCCCAGCTCTTCAGCCCCACCCTTTATAACCTTTTATGTAGCAGCTGAGGGAGTTGTAAAGGGATAATTATAGGAGCACGGGTAGGAAAACATCAGCCTTTAAGCTGTTGCAGAACTACAAGACCCATCATGTCCTGGCCTCTGGGAGTCTTGGTTGTGGCTGTCAGAGTATTGCAATGCCTCATGAGAACTTGTAGTTCTGTAACAGCTGGAGGGCCAAAGTTTGCCTGCCCCGCCATAGTGTCACTGGAGTGACCACTCTGTGTGCTGAGGTTGCCAACATCACATTCAAAATGTTGATTCCCAGTAGCACTCTCAGGCCTTTTGGATGCTTACACAAGTGAGGTTTCAGTGGATAAAAAAAGAAAATAAAAAAAACAAACAAAAAAACAACATGCTAAAACATAGAGTATGTTAAAAGTCCATATAATCTTATGGTCTGAAATAAAGGTCTATTTAAATATCACATTTTCCAGAGGACATCCTCTTCAAGCTTTACCGCGACTCAAACACACTGGGGGAGATTTACTAAAATGGGTGCAGTCAGAATCTGCTGCCACTGTGTATAGTAACCAATCAGCTTCTAACTTCACTTTGTTTAATTAAGCATTGGAAATAAAACCTGGAAGCTGATTGGTTCCTATGCAGAGTTGCACCAGATTCTGCACTCTCCAGTTTTAGTAAATGACCCCCACTATAAACATCTCTCTCTAAATAGCAACAATATACAACTTACCTCTGTGAATTTGTTGAGGGTGGCATTTGTTGGATTGTGAGTAATTAGAAAACGCATACACTCATAAGATATTTCCACTGGAGCAGGACGGTTCATTGTGATAACTTTAAAAAAATAAGGTTTATTTATTTTAAAAAAAATCCTGAAAAAAATTCACAGCAGAAAATATTAAAAAAAATTTCTACAAAGAAAAATATATTTATATATTTGCAGGTGGAAAAGGTTATTCTGTTATTGCAAAGTCCCAATTGAGAGATGTTAGTTTTGTGAGCACTTTTTGTGGGATGCAGAGGAGCATCCAAGAGATATCCCTCACATCACTTCTAGGAGAGGAAGAGAGCTTAAAAAAATGCGCATATATAGTGACCAATGGTCTCTACAGCAATGAGGCACTCATTAAAGGAGAAGATATCCCCTGTACAATTCTTCCCTTCACAAAAGGAAAAAATAAAAAGTAGTGAAAAAAATATGCGGCTGTGAGGTGAAATAATAAGTTAGAACTCCCATATGCTTTTCTGCGGCTGGCAAGAGTGAGTGCAGAAACATGGATGGGTGGGCTCAGGGGGGTCACAGAGAGGCCTCTCTGCTCACTTGTCTGCACCAATGCTGTGCTGAGCCTGGCAGTATTCTGTGCTTATGCGCCGAATCGCCATAAATGTGCGACGTATATTCCAAGAGGAACCCTGAAAGACAAAAAGAAAAAAAAAACAAAAACCTTATACAAACTCTTATAGCATATATGACACACATAAGAATTCACTACATTTGATGTATTTTATTTATGGCAGTGTTTTCATTTATGGCAGACACTGTAGTGCGGTTACTGCCATAAATGAAAGTCATTGTAGTTTCACCTCTGTAAAGACATATCAGGAAATATCCAGCTGAACTGGAAAACCCCTATTTGCATGAGCATGTGTGAACCTCCTGCTGTTTCCAAGTTAACAGGAAGGGAGCAGTGATTACATACTTCACATACGTTCTGCAACACAAGCACAGATTATTATACAGTTCACCTGATAAAAGAGTATATAATCAGAGCAGCCTCTCTCAACCAGGGTGCCCAGGCACCCTGGGGTGCCTCGAGATTTCTTCAGGGGTGCCTTGGAAAAATTGCCCAAAATGTGTATACAAGCCAGCGGGGGTGGGACAATTATGCATTTTAGTTACACAAAGGCCACAGGTTTTCATTGTGCACCATTACAACCTTCTAGCCGCCGGCACCTTGACAACCAATGACATCATCAGTTGATAAGGAGGATGTCGGCTGCCTGCACAGCATCCTTGTTTTACCCCCTGCCTCTCACCATCAGTGCTGGGGTCACATCAGCTCAGTGATGGAGAAAAATTGCGGGAGAAGGGAAGCATTGGAATACTAGTCAGTACCAGTGTGCTAAAGTGTATTTGCTGTGGAAGAATTAATCACCTCCAATGTTGGGTGTCCTACATGTGTGGGTGTTGCTGCGTTATAGAAAACTATTAGAATAGTTTTTCACATTTTAGAATGGGGTGCCTCAAGGCTGTCCATAATTTTAAAGGGTGCCATGGGATTGTCCATAATTTTAAAGGGTGCCTTGACTGCTATCAATGCAAGCATGCTGACCACCAAGATATGAACAGGCATCTATTAACATCTGCTTCTATGCAGGAAGTGCTACATAGTACAAGCCGGCATAAAGCACCCCCCCCCCCCACAAAAAAAAAAAAAAAAAAACTATTGTCAGTGTTTTTCATCCAGCTTTTTCTTGAGCGTATACAAAAAAAAACAAAAAAAAAAACAAAAAAAAAAAAAACACTAATATGCATAGAGCATAAAATGGATTAAAAAAAAAAACAAAAAACACCTTACAAAGCAGACAGGCTCTTTATTTCATTAAATAAAAATACATGGCATGGTGCCTGTATGATGGGATGCATGAATCCTGTACATGAGCAGGAATGACACCATCCCAAGGTGGCTAATTGAGACGACCAAACACTGGCACCTGGAAGATGCCAGCACCAACGAGGGTCCTCATAGAAGTCAAACCATTTGAGCAGAGGTAAGCATTCCATTCCTTCCTTAAGTTCCACTTTAATCTGTCCCTTAAAAACCATTTAAAATCACATGACCATCTAAAAAACGGGATTTACAGCCTATACCTTCGTACAGCCGTTGATTAACGTGCAGCTGTATGTTTTAGTGGTGTCTCCTGAGTGGCAATATGTCCACAATTTCCCAGCTATTCACTGGGAAATTCAGTGTGCTGCTGTTTCTCTTTCCCCACCTCTCTGTTCTCAGCTGCATAAGGAGTTTAGAAGGGAATGTGATCACTTATAAAAAATAGGGGAGGAGTAGATTTATAATGTTTTGCCTTCCATTTCTATTATAAACTGAATGGGTTGTTTTACAAGGTGAGGGCTTACATATACTTTAAGTTTTAAGGCTCCAGAAGTCAAAAGTTAAAAAGAAGTGTGGGGTTTTCTCTCCCACCCCCCCCCAAATTATACTTATCTAGGTGGATGCAGCATCTGTTCCCTGCTGGCTCGAAGTATTAGAACTCAGCGATCACATGGTTGCTGATTGCGAGTTCTCACTGCCGCTGTGAACAAAGAGGTGAGTGTCAGTCATCGCTCTCTGCTCTGCCCCCCATGCTCATTGGAGCACTGGGCTGTGGAGGAGGAGGGAGCGGCTGGATCAGGCTCTCAAAACAGATCACCGACAGGCTGAGCCAGGTGCCGCTCCAGACTCTGGGGTGGATCCCATGACTGACCAGCTGAGTGACGTCAACCTACAGAGGGCCCGCTGTCATCTGAAACCAGGTCACAGGAGTGCAGTTTGTCCAAAAAGAACTTTGTCTGTACTTCTTTAACCGTTAGCCGCCCGGCCAATGGCCATTTGGCGGCTTGAAAAGTGCTTCAGAGGGTGAATTCGGGTGCACGCCATTTGGCGTGCTAATGCAGAGAGCCGCGCACCTGTTCACCGGCACGTGTACGGGACCGATGACAGATCTGAGTACCGGCCCCTGTTGCTGGTACCATGTGACCTGCTGTGACCAATCACAGCAGGTTACATGACAGTTGTATACAATGGATGGCTTCATTCATGCCATCCATTGTATACTAGTGCCTAGCTGTGAATGGTTACAGCTAATCACATGCACATGCCATGTGATTAGCTGTGACCAAATCACAGCTAAGCACAAAAAAAAAACTTTTATAACAGAAACAAAGAAAAGCGTGTTTTTTTTTTCAAAATTTTTGGTCTTTTTTTGTTAATTTAGCAAAAAATAAAAACCCCAGCGGTGATTAAATACCACCAAAAGAAAGCTCTAGTTGTGTGAAGAAAATGATAAAGTTAGTTTGGGTACAATGTTGTATAATCGCGCAATTGTCATTCAAAGTGTGAGAGCGCTGAAAGCTGAAAACTGGCCTGGGCAGGAAGGTGTAAAATTGCACGGTATTGAAATGGATAATATTTAAAAAAAAAAAAAAAAAAAGAAAGGAAGTGCAGAAACAAATAGTAAAAACTATGCTATGTGGAGACACCCACAAAAAAAAATTACAAATAAAACATGCAGTGTTAATGCTAATAAACAGACTGCACCTTAATGTAATTTTTTATTTTCCCCATAATTCCACCATGATTTTGGCCTTTCAAGCATAAGGACATCATCTAATAAGGCAAATCCGATTGGTCAGCTGTTAATGCAAAGCTAGCAAAATGTGAACAGCTATATAAAGAGGTAAAAATGCTATTTATGCAGGCAAAGGATAGCCTGATGACAGAAATAATGATGAGTAGGAAGTCTAAGGCTCCATGTACACGGGACACTTCTGAATGATGGGAATTGGCTGCTGGAAAACGTAGGTTAAAAAACGTCTGTTTAGCCGTGTTTGCATACCACATTTATGAGCGTTTGCATTTGGAAGCATTTTTTAAAGACAACCTCAGGAGACCTTCCAAATGCCCAGAATACACTGAAAAACAGTAAAAAATGAACTATTTCAGACATTTTGAGAGAAACCGAGAGAGCAGTATTTGTTGAGATTAGCTGTCTTTTTTTTTTTTTTTTTGTGGTGTTTGGATGTGTTTCAGCTCATTTCTGTGCAGAAATTATTGCAGCAGTGTCTAACATATTTTCTTTCATGCATAACCTCAAAGTATGGTGTACCAGGTCCATTTGAGTACCGGGAAAATGCTTTGCATGCATTTTTCATGATAAAAAAAAGGCTCTGGACAGCATCTGGAAATGGAAGAGTTACATTTTTTTTTCCAAATGCTTAAACACGGTTAGCCGCGTTTACACGCATTTGAAACACTGATAAAATCTACTCTTGAACGCAAGTTTGGCGCGTTAAAAAAAAAAAAAAAAAAAAACGACTGTAAACGACGATGTGTACATGGACACATAGGAAAGCATTACGGAGAGTTCAGGGGCTGCTGGAAAAAAAAAAAATGCAGAAAAGCTCCTAAAAGTGAGTTGATCAGCTACAGTGTACATGGAGCCTATAAGTCACATCTAGAGCTTCTATCATTTTATCAACTAAAACCCTAACTGAAAGGAACCAACAGAACTCTCAGCAAATATCTAGACAGCAGAGATAAGGCTGGCCAAAAGAATCTGCACGGAAAAGATACAAAGGTTCCAGCATTTCTCAGAAAGTACATGCAATAAGTGGCCATTGCAGTACAGCACGAGGATTTAGTATCAGCAGTGAAAAGTGGAACGGTTACAATATTTAATGGGTCAATGTTTGACTACGAAGTTAATGATTACAGGGTGGTGTAAAGGCCGCCTACAGCTAAGGCTCTACTAGGTTGGCCAAGCTTCATGCTGTCAGCCATGGCTCACTAAACACAACACCCCATGGCTTGTTCAGTCAATGAACGGCTGAGGTTAATGAGATCACAGTAAATTACACACACTTGTACCCAAGAAGGGCAAGCCCTAAACAAAATCTAAAGACCAGACGGAAAAGGTTAATCTCTCCAAGGTAACTAAAGTGTGCCAACGCACCAGCTCACTGCCAAGATAATACATCTTGTAGAAACCTGAATGTGTGTTCAGTCTAATACTGGAAAATAAGGTGCAACAGAACATAGGACTGAGCTG